AAAAAAAAGAACAGACAAAACTTCCAACCAATCAGAATGGGAGAATGTTGCTACCTCCTAACAGGAATTCCAGGAAAGCCTGGGGAAGCTGAGGAAGGAATAAGGGGTGCAAAAGAGGGTGGACTAGTGGCTTTCTTTTCAACACATAGGGAAGTATTTCAACTTTTAAACAACGCATATATTGTATCTAAACATATTAGCTGAATGTCAGTAATATGCCCGTCACTCTTTTCCCACTCGCCCCCCATCCAGCTTGCCCTTGCCTTGTCCATGTGGACCAGGAAGGAATCAAGGAAGTCCCGTGGGGCACTGGGGTCCAGCATTTACTGGTGCCTTTCAATGTTCTCAGTGACAAAATGTTCCATGTCTTGAATTTCGTTGTACACTTGAGTGTGGATACCAGAAAAGGGTTTCAGGATGCCAGAGAGGAGTTCAAACATCTCCAGGGAAGAAGCAAGGAGCTCCCAGAATCTGTTCTCTCTGGGCAGTTGGACTCATTGCCTTACCTGGGAGCGTTTAGCCGGTAAGTGTGTGCACAGAAAACCGATTTTGATGACTTCTTGTCTCAGTGTTAGTACAAAAAGCATCTGATGCCTTCCCAGGGTCCACCCACCCCAATTCCTGGCCCACCATGGAAACTTTGGCCTCAACTGGTTGTAGAAAGAGCTGGCAGAAGTGGAGAGATCATTCATTAAATGTAGCAGCCTTGGGAATCTGGGGTCCTGGCAATTAAAGTGCTGGCCAAAGATGATGGTACAGATGATGTTGGCCATGGTGGAGTGAAAGAGGAAAGTGGGATCCAGATAGGTCGCGAGGTGAAGGGGGTGGGTGATGGATGGAGGACTGCATTGTCCTTCTGGAAGGCTCTGACCTGGCTGATGCCATATTAGCTCAGTTGGTTTCTTTCTCTTTCTCTTGGCTAGCCTGGCTTTCACTCGGCCTCTTATCGCACCTCTTCTGGGCATTTTGCACTTTGTGTCTCATGGTTTTCTTGGGCACTGTCTTGGTGTGACTTTCTTGGTGCACCTGTGTCTTTGTCTGGTCTTGTGTCTGAGTCTTTGTTTGAGGCTCAGCCCCTGCTTCTCTGTTCTCTCTCTGTGTCCCATCTGCTTTGTGTCCTTCTCCTTGGCCTCACTGTCAGTCTTTGTTTCCCCTGACTATTTCTCTCTTTTGTTTTTTCTTTCCAAGTCTTCCTTACAGTTTCTGCTTCTGGATCGATCTCTGTCAGTTTCCTGGGACTTCCTTCTGTCTTGCTTTCTCTGTCTGCTTTCTCCACCTCTCTCTCTCTCCTTCCCTGTTCTCCTCATTCTGTTTCTTTTTTTTCTGTCTCTGTCTCCTTCTCCCTTTCCTTGAACTTGTTTCTGCCTCTCTCTGTCTCTGGGTCTCTCTGTTCCACATGCCAGCCTAACCTAACCTCTACCACTCCCTCCCAACCCCCCGCATCCTTATCAGGGAAACACGAACACTTGGACATTGTGACCTCCTCCAAGCCTCTCTCATGTACCCTTGTCCCAAATGTCCTCTTCTGTCAGCTCTTACAAGAACCCTCCCAGGTTTGAATTTTAAAAATTACAGAGACTCCTTACATGTGAGCTCTAGTACCTTTCCCTCCCCACCCCTGCAGAACCACAGCTCAAAGCCTCACGTCTTATCAGAATTTCTCCCTCTGGTTTACCTTCCCTGCATTCCTTCTTATAAGAATTCCAGAAGCTTCTCTCATGGGAATGTTGGGCCAGATCCCAGCTAGAAGAAGTCAGTCCCCAAGCTGGCCTTGCAAAGTCCCATCCACAGTTTCACCCTCAAGTGCCTTGCTGCCTGTGAGCTGTTTCTTGTCCACCCACCTCCTGCTTTTCACCTGCTTTCTGCATCCCATAGCCTTTGTGGCCTATTTGTAAAATGTTCCCCAGGAAGGGCAGAGGCCAAGGTCTGGGAGGGAGTTGGCTCCAAGACGTCGGGTGACTCAGGAGCAGTAAAAGGCCAATAAGGACAGTGAGCAGCAAGAGGACTGTGACTGCCATGGTCCTGGCTGTGTCTTCCTTCCATCCTGCGGTCCCTCTTAAAAGGAAGGCTACTTTGTTGCGTGTCACCTTTTGTTTTCTGTGATCATTGGGGGTGGATGTGCCATAAATCTAATTTAGCACAGCTCTTGGTAACTCTCCAGTGGCAACAGGAACCCCAAAGATGGCGGGTGCTGCAGAGGCCAGGAAGTTTAACCTCTCAATTGGATCCCAAAGCTGGCTTCCCATTGGCCCCTGGCTGGCCGGAGGCATCTTAGCAGGCAATGCACGTGAACCTGGAGTACCTTCTTGAAGGAAGGGTGGTGGTGCCAGCTAGCAGAGCCTGGTGTAGGATGGTGTGCTGCAAGAATGGCTCTTGACTGATTTTCTTAGAGGGTGGCATTGCATCATGAGGGATTGGAAATAGCTAGAAGACTGAATTGAGGCATCCTGAGTTCACTGGAAGAAACGATTTGCCCTGAGCATCAGAAGAGAGTAAGAAATGAAGAAAAAGATAAGGTCTGATGGGGAAGGCTAGCTCCATGTTGGGTAGGTTTGGGGTTGCTTGACTTAACCATTCATTCATTCCTCAGCAAGTATTTTGCCTTCTCGGACATAGCTTTGAGGTAAAGAGGTTCTCACTTTCCAGAAATATCCCTAGTGACCTGGGATAGTGACCAATAAATGGGTCTCATGTAAAATGGCATGGATCACCATCTGACCAGGAGATGTCAGGATTTGGATGTTTGTTTCAGTCTCGGGGGATGTGAAAGGGAATACCAGGGAATCCAAGGCACCAGTGTGGAATCATGCACCTCAGGGGGCCGTGGGTCGAGGAGGCCCTTACACAGAGGGACGGAAGGAGGGAAATTCAGTAAAAATGAGGATGGCAACTTAATACCCAAAGCAATCTACACATTCAATGCAATCCTAATCAAAATTGCACGAGCATATTTCTCAAAACTAGAACAAACTATCCTCAAATTTGTATGGAACCACAAAAGACCCTGAATAGCCAAAGTAATACTTAATAATAAAACCAAAACGGGAGTTATCACCATCCCAGACTTTAGCCTCTACTACAAAGCTGTCATCATCAAGACAGTATGGTATTGGCACAAAAACAGACACATAGACCAATGGAACAGAATTGAGAACTCAGAAGTGGACCCAAAAGTATACTGCCAACTTATCTTTGACAAAGCAGGAAAGAGTATCCAATAGAAAAAAGACAGCCTCTTTAAGAGACGGTGCTGGGAGAACTGGACAGCAACATGCAGAAGAATGAAACTAGATCATTTTCTCACACCATACACAAAAACTCAAAATGGATAAAGGACCTGAACGTGAGACAGGAAACTATCAAAACCCTAGAGGAGAAAGCAGGAAACAACCTTCTAGACCTCCACCGCAGCAATTTCTTGCTTGACACATCCCCAAAAGCAATAGAATTAAGAGCAAAAATAAACTGCTGGGACCTCATCAAGATTAAAAGCTTCTGTACAGCAAAGGAAACAATCAAGAAAACTAATAGGCAACTGATGGAATGGGAAAAGATAGCTGCAAATGACATATCAGATAAAGGGTTAATATCCAAAATCTATAAAGAACTCACCAAATTCCACACCCGAAAAACAAACAACCCAGTGAAGAAATGGGCAGAAGATATGAAGAGACACTTCTCCAAAGAGGACATCCAGATGGCCAACAGACACATGAAACGATGCTCAGCATCCCTCCTCATCAGGGAAATACAAATCAAAACCACACTGAGATACCACCTCACGCCAGTCAGAGTAGCTAAAATGAGCAAATCAGAAGACTCTAGATGCTGGCGAGGATGTGGAGAAACGGGCACCCTCCGACACTGTTGGTGGGAATGTAAACTGGTGCAGCCCCTCTGGAAAACAGTGTGGAGGTTCCTCAAAAAGTTAACAATAGAACTCCCTTAGGACCCAGCAATAGCACTGCTAGGAATTTACCCAAGGGATACAGGAGTGCTGAGGCATAGGGGCACATGGACCCCAATGTTCATAGCAGCACTCTCCACAATAGCCAAAACATGGAAAGAGCCTGAGTGTCCATCAATGGACGAATGGATCAAGAAGATGTGGTTTATCTATACAATGGAATACTACATGGCAATGAGAAAAAATGAAATCTGGCCATGTGTAGCAACATGGATGGACTTTGAGGGTGTTATGCTGAGCGAAATAAGTCAGGCAGAGAAGGACAGATACCATATGTTTGCACGTATAGGAGGATTAGGAGGAACTTAACGGAGGACGGTGGGAGAAGAAGGGGGGAAATAGTGGGGGAGGGGGAGAGAGGCAAACCACGAGAGACTTGAATGCTGAGAACAAACTGAGGACTGATGGGTGTAGGGAGGAGGGGGGAGATGGGCATGGAGGAGGGCACCTGTGGGGATGAGCACTGAGTGTTATATGGAAACCAACTTGACAATAAACTATTTGTAAAAAAAAACCAAAACATTATTTCCTATAAAAAATCTGTCTATTAAAAAAAAGAATGAGGATGGCAGTGTACAGCAATGGTCCACAATGTGGATGAAACCCCAAAATATTATGCCAAGTGAAAAAAACTGGACACAAAAGAGCATATATTGTATGACTCCATTTACATGAAATACACAGAATAGGCAAATACATAAAGACCAAAAGCAGATTGGTGGTTGCCAGGGGATGAGGGGAAGGGGGTATGGGGGGCGTGACTGCTAATGGGTACGGAATTTTCTTCTTGAGTGATGAAAATGTTTGCAACTAGATAGTGGTGGTGGTTGTACAACATTGTGAATAAGCCACTGCCACCAAATCATACACTTTAAACTGCTTAGTTCTGGGGGCGTCTGGGTGGCTCAGTTGGCTAAGCACCCGACTTCCACTCAGGTCATGATCTCGCGATCTGCGAGTTCAAGCCCCGAGTCAGGCTCTGAGCCTGCTTCAGATTCTCTGTCTCCTTTTATCTCTGCCCTTCCCCTGGTCGCATTCTGTCTCTCTTTCTCTCTCTCAAAAATAAATAAACATTAAAAAATTAAAACGCTTAGTTTTACGTTCTATGAATGTCACAGTAATTTTAAAATATATTGGGGGAGAGGCGTGGCTGGGGGAAGAATCTGAGTTCGAGAGCCAGGGAGACAGAGTGTGAATCTTGCTCCTCTACTCCTAGCCATATGATGTGACTTCGGACAACGGATGCCATTGTCTAGCCTTTGTTTACGCATCTGTAAAAACGGGCATGATCCAGGGTCGTACCCACCCCATGGGGCTTTGGAAGGATTCCAGTGAGATCACGTGTGCACAGATCATGGTGCACAAACAGCTGCTGCATGGAGGTTGTGGATGTTCTGAGGAAGGGAGAGGTCACTGGGGGAAGCCGTGGCCTGGGAGGCAGAAATGCAAAGAGCATCTGAGTCAAGGCTCCTGTCTTAGCACCCAGCTTCTTATATACCCCACACTGGGAACTCTGTTAAGAAAGGAAAGGAAAACACTTCCCCAAGTCTATGGAAGAACTGCAGAGTGATGGTATGAGATGAGGCAGCAACCAAGGAGGAGATAGACACTGGCTTGCGGTGGGTCTCTCAGCAGCAGGAAGACCCAGAGCGAGTCCAGGAACTGACTTCTGCAGAGGCGGGGATACTTCATGATCCTGGAATCCTTTGAGGCCCTTTCCTCAGTCCCTTGGGCGGGACAGAAAGCTGATCTCGTAAACGGGGGCCACTTTTCCTATGCCGTTCGCCTGGGGTGTGAGGTCGATGTCCTCAGGGGCCACAGGGCTGGCCACAGAGAAGTTCTGGAGGATGGCGGTGAAGAAGAGGAATAATTCCATGCGGGCAATGCCTTCACCCAGACAAATGCGCTTCCCTGTGGGCACAGAAGATCACCAGTGTGGGCGCAGTGCAAACCACGTCCCTTGCCCTGTCCCATCCCAAAGCCCAGACATGTGTATCCATCGCCACAGATTTGTATGGGACTGGCCTTTAACCTGCAATCCCGGGTTGTCTTTTAGGGGATCCCGAGCCCTCTGAAACCAGAGGCAAACATTTGGGTGGAAGTGCCTTGCGCGTTTTTCCAGGAGAGAGTTTGTAGCTTCTGTTAGATTTCCAGAGGGTTCAGTGGCCCCTTGGAGAATAAACACCCACCTCTGGTTGGATGTGTGTGTGTGATTGTGTGTGTGTGTGTGTCTGCCTCCACATGCACAGATTGTGCACATTTCTGACACTTTTATTGTCCTTCATTTCTAATGTGAGGAGGATGGTACTTATCTCATAGGACTATTGTGAGGTTAAAGAAATTAATATTTGTAAAAATTCTCAGACTAGCACCTGGTCTGTACTAAGGATACTACAGGTGCGGTCATTCTTTGTGTTTGTTTCTGGGGTGTGTGGTGAAGAGTGTGGGGGTGGGGGGAGTGTGTGTGTGAGGGGAGTGTAGGGGCGTGTGTGGGAGGTGTGGGGGGGAATGTGTGGGGTGAGTGTGTGGGGTGAGTGTGGGGGGGAATGTGTGGGGTGAGTGTGTGGGGTGAGTGTGGGGGTGTGTGGAGGGGAGTTATGTGGGGAGTGTGTGGGGTGTGGGGTGAGTGTGCAGGGGGGAGTGTGTGTGGGGGTGTGGAAAGGAGTGTGTGTGGGGTGAGTGTGTGGGGTGAGTGTGTGGGGGTGTGGAGGGGAGTGTGTATGGGGTGTGGGGTGAGTATGTGGGAGTGAGTGTGGGGGTTGTGGAGGGGTGAGTGTGGGGGGAGTGTGGAGGGGAATTTTGTGGGGAGTGTGTGTGGGGAGTGTGTGTGGGGAGAGGGCAGAGGGGACTGTGTGAGGGGAATGTTGCGGGGGAGAGTGTGGGGAAGAGTGGGGGGCACGGAGTGCATAGGGGGTGTGGGGGGAGTATGCAGGGGGAGTGTGTGCAGTGGGGAGCATGAGGGTGTTTTTGGCACTGTGTGTTTGTCTATATCTGGGTTGTCACTTTATCTCAGTCTGAGAGCCATGGGCTTCAAAATTTGGGGAAAAAAAACAAACTACATGTAAAATTGTGAATGGGGCGGGGCGCCTGGGTGGCTCAGTTGGTTAAGTGTCTGACTTGATTTCAGCTCAGGTGTTGATCTCTGCACTGATAGCACGGAGCCTGCTTCGGATTTTCTCTCTCCCTCTCTCTCTGCCTCCCCTGCTCACGACCAAGCTCGTGCGTGTTCTTTCTATTAAAAGAAATAAATAAACTTAAAAGAATGGCGAATGGGCCTGGTCCCTGTGGGAGGGGAGTGTGGCTTCCCCCAGCTTGTCGGAGGTGTAGGGCCCGCCAGTAGGTCATGAAGCGCCAGCCTGAAGAGAAATAGGGACAAAGGGAGTGGAAACCCCAGGAAGAGACACTGAAAGCCTCCTTTACCTCAGTGCCTCTTTTTCTTTAAAAAAAATTTTTTTTTGAATGTTTACTTATTTTAGAGAGGGAGAGAGTCACAGAGTGGGAGCAGGAGAAGGGCAGAGAGAATCTGAAGCGGGCTCCAGGCTCTGAGCTGTCAGCACAGAGCCTGACGCGGGGCTCGAACTCACCAAGGGTGAGACCGTGACCCGAGCCGGAGTCTGACCCTTAACTGACCGAACCGCCCAGCCCAGGTGCCCCACCTCAATGGCTCTTGATCTGCAAGCTGACCACCAGGGCAAGGCCATTCAGATATTTCCTAGACACTGGGTCTTAGACATTGGGCCTACATGGAGGCCTCTGGGGGAAATGTCCACATCTTTTTGGCACATCAGAAGTTAGGAAACATGGACTTAGAAATACTCAGGGCAGAGCTCTAGGCTTGTTCTCTTGTAACTGGTCCTGTGACCCAGTTCTTTCCAGAACGCCTGACTCCTACTGTCTCCCTCCCATCCTCTCTTCTAATCCACTGGGATACCCTTTGCTATTCCTTTGCTCTAACACCTTTTTGGCTTGGTTTGTCTTCTTTCCAACCATGGCAATCTTGCCTCAGCCTTTTGCTCTGACTGTACCTCCCATCAGACTTTGCTGCTCTGTCTCCTTCCTCTTTTGTCCACTTTCTTCAATCTTAAACTCCCTGTCTCTGTCCATTTGGATCTGACTCTGAAACTCTCCTGTTCTCTCTCTGTTTCCTCTTCCTCGCTCTATTGTCTCCTTGCGCATTCTGTCTCTGTCACTATGTCCCCTGACACGATTTCCCTCTGTCTCTCTTTGTCCCTCTGTTTCTCACTCATTCTTTCTTCATCTCTCTCTCTGTCCTTCCTTCTCTACATCTCTGCCTCTCTCTCTAACCTTAAACAGGACTAGTGAATGAGATCATCAGTCGCACCCCACCATCCCACACGTCCCCCAACTCTCACTTAAGATGAAATAAGGGAAGCCTGGGGCGCCTGGGTGGCTCAAGTCGGTTAAGTGTCCGACTTCAGCTCAGGTCATGATCTTGCGGTTCGTGGGTTCGAGCCCCATGTCAGGCTCTGTGCTGACAGCTAGCTCAGAGCCTGGAGCCTGCTTCAGATTCTGTGTCTCCCTCTCTCTCTGACCCTCCCCTGCTCACGCTGTCTCTCTCTCTCTCAGAAATAAATAAAAAATTTAAAAAATTTTTTTTAAGAAATAAGGGAAGCACTGGGCAGAGCCAGGGGATGTAGGTCACTGAGATCACAGATGGAACTCAAGACTAAGGCCTTGATTCTGGGGTCCTCCTTTCTCCCAAAGGATGAGGACCCTGGACATTGGGGTTTTCTCTGGACGGGGCCACATAGTAGAGAACGGGGCAAGAGACAGGTCAGAGGATGTCAAGACCCTCCCTGGCTCCCCAGAATCAGCAAGATAATTCCAAACACCCCCCAGCTTTCAAGGCCCTCCAGCTGAGCTCTTCGCCTTTCTCCCCTTTTATAATCCACACTCCACGCTCTCTGGGTTTGTCTAGTTTCTCAAATACGCCATGCTGTCTCCACCTTCAGGCTTTGACCATGCTGTTCCCTATGCCTGGAACACTCTTCTTAGGGGCTGATTGATATTCACCCATGAGGTCTTAGCTTAGAAGCCAGTGCTTCCAGGAAAGCTTTTCCTCACCGAACCACCAAGAGTAGTCAGTATTTCCTATTTTGTGTCCCCAAAGTCCCTTTCAGAGCATTTATCACAGTTATGATTGATGATAGTAATCATCATCACATCCATGAGCACTGACTTTGTGCCAAGCAGTTCTAAGCACATTGCAAGCATTAATTAAGTTTAACTAGGTACCATTTTTGTGGTCAAATGATAAATGCCCATCTCCCCTGCTGGACCCTAAAAACCCCGGGGCAGGAATCATGTCTCTATGTGACTTACCCAGTGCATTATCTTCAGCCCCCGGTAGAGCACTGAGCTCAGAGTAGTGCTCACCAGCTATCTTATACCAAGGTGTAGAGAGGTTAAATACTTTCCCAAGGTTCAGTTTACCGAGATGTGCCTTTGGGATGTGGTCTTACTTCTTAAGCCCGGTCTAAGGTTGCAGTGAAGATGAAGTGGGTTAAAGGTAAAGCAATTGGCACATACTAGCAGCTCAATGAACAAAGATCTCTCCTAGATTGTCTCAAAGAGAGAGTGGCCTGTCACTCTAGTGTCTGAGTAAGAGAGTGCAGGCCTGGCTTACCCATGGAGAAGGGGATAAAAGCTTCATTCTTCTTCAGTGCCCCACTGGCATCCAGAAAGTGGTCAGGGTTGAAGGTTTCTGGTTTTTCAAAGTAATGAGGGTCATTGAGAGCAGAGTGCAGGATGGGAAATACTTCAGTGCCCTGAGGGAGAGTCGCAAGGTCAAAAGACACTGCCATTCCATTCCTCAGCCCACCCTTAAAAACAAAACAAGATAAACAAACAAACAAAAAACCAAGAGGACCCTAGTGATAAAACAAAAAACAGGTCAAGTACAGAGATTAAGAGAACCCGGCATGCCCACACAGGAGAAATGTGGGAGCCCAGCTGGCCTCACCTTGGGCAGGAAGTACCCTCTGAAGTGAGTGTCTTTGGTGACCATGTGGACCAAGCCAATGGGAAGGAGGTCGCTGAATCTCTGAATCTCATGGATGACTGCGTCAGTGTATGGCATTTTGGCTCGGTCATCAAGGCATGGAAGGCGGTGTGGGCCAATCACTTGGTCAATCTCCTTGTGGACTCTCTCTGCACAGAAGAGTGGGGGCAAAGAACCTCATTTTAAAGAGGCATTTCAGCAGAGACACTGTTTTGTGTGGGCTAATAAGCCAGGAAAAACCTATAATAAAGGGATGGGTCATTGACACCCCTCAGGGCAACCAGCCTGGAGGAGGGGGGAAGCAATAATTCTCACCCTTTGAAATCTAATGAATGTTATGAATTCTCTCCCCACAGGCACAGGTACACACACACACACACACACACACACACACACACACACACACCACAATTTTGCACAGAATTTCAGACTAAGAACTCAAGATATAAACCTGTCAAAACTCGCCCTCTAGAAAGAATAGAGGGGAACCTGGGTGGCTTGTCAGTTAAGTGGTTAAATGTCTGACTTTGGCTCAGATCCTGATGTCATGGTTCATGAATTTGAGCCCCACATCGGTCAGCACAGAACCTGCTTTGGATCCTCTGTCCCACCCCCACCCACTCAGTTCCTTCCCTGTTCTCTCTCTCTCTCTCTCTCAAAAATAAATAAACATTAAAAAATTTAAAAAACTAATATTTACTGTGTGTGTATTATAGATGAGACACTGTGCTAGGTCCTAAGGAATATAACCATGAAATAGATCAGTAGATTAACCCACAAACAACTGGATAAATGAATACATAAGCCAGTCAACTTATGAATGGAAAGACTGATGAATGGAAGAACATTAGTGAATGGATGTATGTATTTGTTTATCAATCAATATATGAATTAATGGATCATTAATTAACAAATGGCCCAGAGACAAATAAATGAACCTGATTAACCAATAAGTCAATTGCATGAATGAGTGGATGGCTAGATCTATAGAGGAATAAGTAAATAAAGAAATTCGTGAATTAATAGGTATAAGAAAGGTATACAATAGGTCTAAAAATAGATAAAATTAAATAGTTATAAAAAAGGAATAAATAGGTGGAGGTATTGAATAATAGATAAATAAATCCATGATGAATTAACTGAATTAAATGAATAATAAATGGATGGAGGGTGGATTGAAAGGCCGATGGAAGAATTAAGGAATGAAATCTAGTTCATAGGGCAGAGAGATGAATGCACGAACAAATGAGCCAATGAATCAATGACAGATAGTTCATTCAATTAGTCACTGTGTCAAAAGATCAATAATTGAATCAATTAATGCAAATAAAGAATGGAAGCCTATGTCCTTGAATTCATCATCGATGAAAGAATCTGAGTGCACAGGTAATAAATAAAAGGATAGACAAATGGATGGATGGGAGGGACACAGTGGAAGAACACATTGACACCTATTCGTTCATCCATCCACCACTGCGGGGATGGCTTAGTTAGAGACTCATTCAAGGCCTGTACTGCTCCCGGTAAAAGAGGTGAACACCGTCTCTCTCATTCAGGAAGGACCCCAGCCCCACTTTTGTAGCCCTCAAAGGGAGGAGAAGCTCCCCCCTCTTTCCCCTGCCTTGACGGCTGTCCCTGTCCGCCCACCTGTGATGTGAGGGTACTTGAGCATGAGCAAGAAGCCATAGCGGAGCGTGGTGCTGGTGGTCTCCGTCCCGGCGAAGAAGAGGGAGAGCACTGTGCAGATGAGGTTCTGATGGTGGAACTCGCTGTTGGGGTCAGACTTCTCCTGAATCCGAGCGGTAGGGGACGAGTAAGGGGAGGGGCGTGGCTTTGCTGGGGGCGCCCTCCCCTGCTTCTGGGTCTCACACCACCTGGGGCAGTTGATTTTTCTGTGCCTTCTGCCTAGATCTCTCTCTCTCTGTCTCTCTGTGCTCAGACTCGGTTTCAATCCATTTCCCATCTCTGCTGTGTTCGTCCCCCTTTCACTCCCACAGCCTCGTTCTACCTCGGTTGTGTCTCCTCACCTGTTGCTGCGTTTCCTGTATCTCTTTCTCCCTCTCTCCTCCCAACGTTCTCCTTTAATCTCTTCGCCTCAGTCATTTCCTGCATCTCTGCTCCCTTTCCCAGTCTCCCTCCCCTCTTCCCCGCTCCTTTCCCCTTTCCCTACCCTTCTTTTTTTTATATTTTTATTTATTTCGAGGAGAGAGAGAGACAGCATGGGCAGGGGAGGGTCAGAGAGAGAGGGAGACACAGAATCTGAAATAGGCTCCAGGCTCCGAGCCGGCAGTCAGCACAGAGCCCGACGCGGGGCTCGAACCCACGAACCGCGAGATCATGCCCTAAGCGAAAGTCGGACGCTTAACCGACTAAGCCACCCAGGCGCCCCTCCCCACCCTTCTTCTCATCCACCCCTCCATCTTTTCCTCCCTCCCCACCCTTCCTGTTCCCCTCCCCCAAGCCCCACCTTGTCCAGGCGGATCAGGAAGGCATCGATGAAGTCCTGGGGGTTGCTGGGGTCCAGGGTCTGACGGTGCTTCTCCACGGCATCCTCAATGAAGCTTATGATTTCCTGCGCGTTTTTGTAGATTTGCCTGTGTGTGCCTGGGAAGTACTTCAAGAAGCTGTGGAAAAGCTCGAACATCTGCAGGAGAGAAGGGACTGTGACGTCTTCCTGGGGCTGAGCTAGTGCGCCACAGGGAGGGGTCCCTTCCTGGGCCCTAACACCCTGGTAGGGGGGAAGCTCATCTCTCTCTGTCTCTGCTTTTGTCTCTGCCTCCCTCTGTCTCTGTCTCTCACTCACTCCTTGGATCTGTTATTCTCCCATTTTCTCCCTCCTGCATCTTCCTCCCTCATCCTCACATCCTGCTTTGGTTGCTGGCACACCTCTCTCCTTTCTGCCTCTCCTTAGCTCTGCGTGTCTCCTCTCACTGTCTCCATGCAGCTTCTTTTTTTAAGCCATCTCTACACCCAACGTGGGGCTCAAACTCACGACCCCGAGATCAAGAGTCGCCTGGTCTACCGACAGAGTCAGCAGAAGCTCTCTGCGCTCTCTTGCCTACTTCAGCCAGTCAATCTGTTTTGCTCAGAACTCTCTGACCTTCCACCCCTCACGCCCCCCTTGAGCACCAAACACTGATACCGTGATGCTCACGCGAAATGAGCCTACTGCCCACTTAGGTCTATTTATCTTAGAACATTTTTTTTTAAACTTTTTTTTTAATGTTTTATTTATTTCTAGGAGAGAGAGAGAGAGACAGCGTGAGCAGGGGAGGGTCAGAGAGAGAGGGAGTCACAGACTGAAACAGGCTCCAGGCTCTGAGCTGGCAGTCAGCACAGAGCCCGACGCGGGGCTCGAACCCACGAACCGCGAGATCATGACCTAAGCGAAAGTCGGACGCCTAACCGACTAAGCCACCCAGGCGCCCCTATCTTAGAACATATTTCTACGAGATTGTCTGAGGATTGAGGTAGTACTTAAACTTGTTGCAAATAATTGCAAAAAAATAAAAGGGTGGAAATAGAGAGTGCAGTGTAAATTTCTCTCTTAATGGTTAGAAATAACCATTGATTACTCTCTGGTGAATCTCCTCCCAGACTCTTCTCTCTGTGGTTCTCTGTGGGAGAGAAAAGTGAAATCACTTGCTGGACCTTTTGCAACTACTCACTCTGGGCCCCATCTCAAGTCTTTGGATCAGACTGTCTAGCAGAAGGTCACGGGAATTTGTACTTGCGACAGTCCTACGCATGAATCTGACATACACTCCTGGGGAAGAACCATAACGAGGCATACTGTTCTGCAGTTTAATTTTTTTAACTTTAATATATAATAGGGGTATTTCCAGATTCACTGAGAAAGAGAAACTGTACTATTTTGTTTTAAAAGAAGACTGAAAGAGGGTGTGGAAATGGGGAAAATGAAGAAATGTGGTCCCTTATTTTCATGTATCCTTGAATTTCTTCAAGTGAGGGGCTTTGCCAAAGACAGAGGTGAAGATTCAGAGGAATCAGGGACAGAAGAATAGAGAGCCTGACAGTCGGATTCATATTCTCTCCCTGTCACCTCTTTGACTGTCTTTTCGACTCTGCCTCTCAGAGTCTCTGATCTCTGCCCTTCCTTGTTGGTTTCTCCCTGTCCTCCTCGCTTCTCTTCCAAACGCTGGTGTCTTGATCTCTCTTGCTGATTCTCTGACTCCCCATCTCTGCCTCCTCGCCCTAGGCTCTCCATCCCTGTCTCCGTCCCTCCCGCCCTCCAGGGCTCAGTGTTGCTGTCCCCTCCCCTTCCCCCCAGTGTCTGTGCCCCCTTTCCAGCCTGAAGCGGTATTTCTGGGCCCCCAAAGCAGATCACCCCTTTCCCCATGCCCTAGATATCCACCTCACACTCAGCCTCTGGCCCCAGCTCCCTGACCTGGCTGGAGAAGGAGCTGATGAGTGTGAAGGTCTGGTAGAACAAGTCCAGCAACCGCTGGAACTTTGGATCTTTGTAGCTAAAGCGTTTTCCAAAGACAATGGAGCAGATGATGTTGGCAGTCATGGAGTGGAAGAAGATGGTGGGGTCCCGGAAGGCTCCTAGGAGGAGGAGGCACAGGTCATGGGACACAGACTCAAAGGCCTTGGGAGCATTTCACTGCTGACCCATCTCCACGTGACTGCCCTCCCTCACTCAGTGATGACAAAGAAGCAGGTACAGGAAGCGCTGACATTCACTAGCCTGGATGATGGGCCAGCCAGGTCCTGTTCTAAGCACTTCATGTATTATTTTACTAAATTCCCACCACAACCATGGGGGGTAAGTGCAGTTCAGTTATTGTCTCCAAGGTAGCCAGGCTATGGAGGCTTTGTGGTTGGCCCGTCTCGGGCCTCAGCTCTGACCCCGGGAGCAGGTAGTTAAGTCCCAGGGTAGACAGGCTCAGTCAATCACAAGTGCAAGTTTAAAAGGTCTCTGCTCCCTGTCCCTTATCCATTGATCTCTCCTCTCCACCTCCAGGGCTCTTTGGTCTCCAGGGAATTGTTCTGCACTTGAGAGTTGATGTCTGTATACATCCTGGCCTCCCTGGTTGGGGGTGGGATGGGGGTGGGAGGGGTAGACACTGTTGCGCCACCCGGAAGTGTCATGGCATCAGCCTCTCTCTGCAGGTCTCACCTGTCCATCTTCTCTCGTTCCTGTGCAGACCCTTTCCTGAGCCTGTCTGTCTGTCTCATTTTCTCTACCTTCGTTTCTCTCTGCCTTGGTTTCTTTCTGCTTCCCCCGGTCTCTTCCAGTCTCTCTCTCTGTCTTGGTCTCTCTGTCTCTTTCCCTTTCCCTGTCGCTCTCCATCTGAGTTGCTTTGTTTCCTCCTGTCTTCTTGGTCCACTGCCCCCAGTCTTCTGTTGTTCCCTATGTCTCTGCCTCTCCCTCCCAGCCTGTACATTTACATCTCGAAATCCCTTACGAAAGGACCTATCATCTTTATGTCTCATGAACACCCTTTTATGGAGAAACCAAAAATAAGTAGACGTGCTTCTCTCTCTCTTTTTTTTTTAGTCTATTTATTTATTTTGAGAGAGAAAGAGAGGGAACTAGCAGGGGAGAGGCAGAGAGAGGGGGAGAGAGAGAATCTGCACTGCCAGCACAGAGCCAGACACAGGGCTCAGACTCACGAACCGTGAGGTCACGGCCTGAGCTGAAATCAAGAGTCAGATGCTTAACCGACTGAGCCACCCAGGCGCCCCTTGACGTGCTTCTTTGACAGCCCATCCCCCTGCCTGAGGGCAGAACGTCCCCGCTGCCCTCCTTGCTCACGGCCAGCTCATCAATAGTTCACCCAAGAAGAAAGAAAACCCAGTTGGTAATTTTCAGTGTCTGTCGTTTTCCCTTTCTCTCTTTGCCTTCTTTTATAGAAATCCTGTTTTTGCCCCTGACAGATACAATTAATCCATGAGTTGGTTTCCCTGAACCCAAGTAAACAGCATGCTAATACCTAACTAAGTTTATGTCCTTGGGTTATTCTCGGCACTATACACCCCACATCTCTTCTGGCTCCCTCTGCTCCATTCCCACCCACGTCTCTCTGTCCCTCTGTTGGGTGGTCTCTCAGGGTCGTTGTCTATCTCTGCCTCTCTTCCTCTGCCCACGGACACCGCTCTGTCTTTCTGCTGCCATGCACCCAGCATACCCATTCCCCGGGACTCACCCTGGGTTTTCCGCAGCTCCTCCACCAGACACTGAGACTCCTCCTGAATCCGTTCCTCTATACTCCGCTTCCCCATCCCGAAGTTTCTCATGGTGGACAGAGAGAATCGCCGAAGAAGTTTCCAGCGTTCCCCGTTGGCAAAGATCACACCTGGGGGTGTAGGGAAGGCATGGATTGCCGAGAGGGTTGGAAGGGGACTCCGGGCCCCTCTGTGCCCCTCCTCCCCCCTTCTCAGACTCACCCTCCTCAATTCCCATCTTCCGTCATTCCCCAAGGTCCTTACCGTATCCTTGGAAGACTCGCTCTACACTGGAGATTGTCCCCCGGCCGGCGAAGACCTCAGCTTGGTCCACCAGGGCCTCCCGTATGGCCTCTGTCCCACACAGCATGACCACGGGCTTTGGCCCCAGGTACACCATGAAGACATCCCCATATTTCTCTCGAAGCTGTGAAGCATATCCACGTCCAAGGTTGCTGTTAGCCTACGCACCTATGTGGCCATCCCAGTTGTTAAACCATAAAACACTTATGTATAGACTGGTAATTAGCTGCTGCCCCCAAGATCCTCCACTCCAGGCTGCCTTTCCCTGTCCCAGGACCCAGCAACTAAAGGATTAACCCATGACCCAGCCAGAGTCCACACGATGGTGCCCTAAGCAGTACAGATGGTTAAATATCTCCTACTCCTGCCCAGACCCTTGAGTTGAGCCAGATCTCACCAGCACTGAAACTGAAGGGTCATCCTTCCTGTGACCCAACGCTAACCTGCTGTCTGCCTCCTGAGTTTCCCCAGGGAACTACCCGAACCACCTGGTAGACAAGAAGGGAAAACGATGGCTTCGGGGATGATCATGACATCAGTACCGGCATTTGCAAAACTGCTCCGTGGTATTTACTGAAGCTCGACACATACATATTCAGTGACTCATTAACTTCGCTCCCAGATGCACGTCCAACCACAATGTGTATGGCGGTTCACCAAAATACAAACAAAGCAGATTCACTGAAGTCATGCCATGGAATAACTACACAGCAATGAGAAAGGACCGACTCTACAGACAAGACTCGAATGAAACTCACAGGCATAGTGTGGAGTGAAATCAACCAGACATAAAAGTGTCCATATGTCCTAACTCTACTTATATGAAGTCAAGATAGTGGGAGGGTGATGACTGGAACGAGACAGGAAGGCGATCTCTGGGGACAAGATCTGTTGTTACTTATCTATATGATGTCAATTACATGAGTATGTTCATTTGAGAGGATCCATTGAGCTGAATGTTTATGATTTGTGCACTTTTAGGGATCATGTTAAACCTCACTAAAAGTTGACTTAAAATCATAAAATGGGTGAAGTAGACTGCAAAGCCTCCTTACTGGTCTCCCTACTGCCATACCCATCCCCCTACAATCGGTTGACCACCCAGGTTCGTGGGTTCGAGCCCCACATCAGGCTCTGTGCTGACAGGTAACTCAGACCCTGGAGCCCGCTTCAGATTCTGTGTTTCCCTCTCTCTCTGACCCTCCCCGGCTCATGCTGTCTCTCTCCCTCTCTCTCTCTCTCTCTCTCTCTCTCAGAAATAAATAAAACATTTAAAAATTTTTTAAAAATACCCCTAACTGGCTCCAAACCCTCCAGTGCCCCCCACTGCATGGAGAGTAAGATCTGAGGTCTCCACCACGATCCACACCCCCCTGCATGAGGTGGCTGCGTCACCCCTCTGCTAGCCCTCCCCCTCGCCCCTTCCCTCCCTCGGATCCAGCCTCCACGCTGTCCCCCAAACATGCTGAGCTTGCTCCTGCTTCAGCGTTCTTGCACTGACACTTGCCTCTCTGTGGCGCTTTCCTCCTGCATCTTGCAGGGTCCCTGCTCAGAGACAAAGCGAGACTGAGCTTCTCCCCTCATTCACTCTAAAGTAGCTCCACCGCTTTCTAAAATAGTACCCGGCTTTCTTTTAATCATAGCTCTTGTCTACCTAGTATTTCCTTATTTGCTTAACATGTATGCCCTGTCCAAAGCCACATCATCAATGCCTAGAATATTCCCAGGCACACAGAGGGTGCCCTATAAATGACTGTTGAATGAATGGATCAAAGTAGCTGCCACTTAATGAGCACTTACTATACATTAGGCTCTACGGAATATGTCACCCAGTCCTCAACAATGCTATGGGACACACACTCTTACCACCATCTCATTTTAACAAAAGAGGAAATGGAGACTCAATGAGCAAGAGTTGAATCCAGAACGCATCTGCTGACTCTGGAAAGATCTGGGAGCATACTAGGAATGGAGGAGAAGCAGAGCCACCCTCTCTGACCTGTCCCATCGTGACACCCCCTGGTCCTTGCTCTCCCTCCCTGTCTCCAAAAATGCAATGAACATGGAGGATCATGGTTCCCCTAAAGGATCCTGGAAGTTCCATGGAAGAGCTTTAGGATGTCTGGAACTCTCAAAATTTTATGCACAAATGTTTGTGGACATTTGGAGGGGAGAGAGGCCACCACTTAACTAAATTCTCAAAGGATTTTGTGATCCCCAAATCGTTAGGTACCTTTGGCATAGGAGGGTATTGAGATGAAGACACCTCCGTGCTGGACCTTAGCTTTCCCTCTACAAAGTCCCAGAATTGTGACTGCCGACAAGTCTTCCCCAGGCTGAGCCTCACAGTCCATACCTCTAAGATGAGGACAGCATCTCACCTCCCCTGCAGGGGTGTGGTAAGCCAGACCTGAAGAATTCCCACAGTGATACAGATAAATCCTAGCCACATAATTCCGAGCAAAGAAATCAAGTCCAGGAGTTTACAGGAAAGCATGTTGCCCTTGCGATGCAGTGAAGTGAAAATTACTCGGGGCCTGCGATAACCATCCCTCTGCATGTGGGAATATTTTCTCTTAAAAGCAAAGGGATGACAAACCAAAGATTCAGGAGTGTAGTGGCCTTGGAGTATGTAAGCTGGCAGTTACTGTTGGTGATCCAGTTCTTCTTTCTCTTTTTTATTAAAAAAAACTTTTTTTAATGTTTGTTATTTATTTCTGAGAGAGCGAGACAGTATGAGCAGGGGAGGGTCAGAGAGAGAAGGAGACACAGAATCTGAAACAGTCTCCAGGCTCTGATCTAGCTGTCAGCACAGAGCCCCACATGGGGCTCGAACCCACGAACCGTGAGATCATGACCTGAGTTGAAGTCGGATGATTAACTGACTGAGCCCCCAGGTGCCCCAATGACCCAGTTCTTCTGTCTGGGAAGTGGGTGCATGGATGTAGATTACATTATTCACAAATAGATGGATAATCCCATGTGAAATTATGGAGGGAAAGCAATGTTACACAGCCTGGTAAACACTCCAGTCTTGCGCCTCCTCCCATCTCCCTCCTCCTCCCGTCTCCCTCTTCCTCCTGGCATCCACCCAGGCCAATCTCTGCTCTCTTTTGTTGGCAGAGGAGAAATGTATGACTGGTGACACTGCCCCTTTTTCTCTCTTCCAGGGCCGGGCAGGCACCCAGAGACTATACAGACGGTGGCAGAAGAGTGTGAAATTCTACACCCATGGCTTGTGCCCAGATGCCTCCGAATGCCCAACCACCCACTCCGCGGCCAGTGCCCACACGCTTCAAAGGAGCAGTCTGATCATTGAACACCACCCACCATGCTTCCCATCCATTCACTTTCTTTACCAACCTTCATACACTCCACCCGCGAGGCTGAAAGGATGCCTTCACCCCTATTAGAGAGCGATCCCCAAGTCCAGAGGCAGGGGGCCACCCTCAGACCCCATCCGTCTGCATTTCACTCACCTGGAGGAAGGATTTGAGTAAGCCTCTTCTGTCCATCTGCAGAATATTCCCCAAGAAGGGCAGAGGATGGGGGCCTGGCGGGAGGCGGCCGTGGGCCTTAGGATGGGCCCTGGCCAGCAGAAGCAAGAGTCCCATCAAGACAGCAAAGAAGAGAACGAGGCTGAGCTCCATGGCTCAGTCCAACTGCCTCCCTTCCAACTGCAGCCTCGATTGGGCTGGGCCTTTTATCCGAGCGTCCTCCCCACCCACTTATGTAACCGCATTCACTCCCCGCCTCCCCCCTCATCCCGCCCAGGAGTGGGAACTTGAAAGAGAGTGCGCTTTTTCGAGTAGGGAGTAGGGGAAGATCCATTCTCCTGGCTCCGGCAACGCTATACATGTTGGCAGCATCCAGGTGGTAGAGATTCCAAAGTCCACATGAGCACCCAGAGCCCGGTGCTCGCAGGTTTTATTTGTTTTGAGCGTATGAGCGGGAACGCACGGTCACCTTGACGCGCTCCCGACGCCTGCTCGCCTGCTCGAGTCTGCATGCGAGCCTGGGGGTGTGTGGCGCTCAGGTTTCCTCCCCCTCCCCTGGCTCTCTGCTCTGAGCAGTGCCTGGCACTTCTGTCCCCACCTCTGGCTCTGCCTTCACAGTTCGGGACGTTTCTCTGACCCTTTTGGACAGTCTTGGGTGACTATTTCTTTATCTCTTGCTATCTCTCTCTGTCTTGGTGTCTCTGTTTCTGCCTTTAGACTCTGAGCTCCAGGAATCCGGAGACTGGGTGCATTTTGATTGATGTCCCTGGGCTCATGTGTCTCCATCAACCTTCCCGGGCTCCAGCAGGCTCAGTCCCGATTTGCCCAGGATGTGAATGAATGTAGCCACCTCCACCCATCGTGCCCTGGGCCTGGATTTCCACCTCACCCTGTGTGTCTCCCTCAAAAGGGAGTGGGGGGACATGAGGCAACATCTATCTTGCAACGTTGGGCAAATGCTTTCTGGGACCCAGGACTCTGACCCCAGAGGTCGACTCATACCTTTCTGACCCAGGAGAAAAGGACTGATAGTCCCGATATCTTGAATTCAGGGGTGAAACCTTCACTTCACTGACCTGGGGGAGGTGCCATCATGGACTTTCCTGAAGCAGCTCCTGGCTCCTGCTCTGTCATGTGACCTGGCCCTGAGCTATGGCCTCAGTCCACCCCCAAGGATCCCTGAGCTATGGCCTCATTCCAGCCTCGGGGATCACTGAGGAGCCATGAAGTGCTTTACACAGACTAACTCACTCAATCCTCACCCTTTACGGTAGGTACGGTTGTCACCCCCATTTTATAAATGGGGAGAATGAGGCACAGAGAGATGGACAGTTTTACCAAAAGACACACAGCGGTTAGAGCTGCATCATTCGATAGCGTAGCCACTTGCCACATGCAACTATTAAGCACTCGAAATATGGCTAGCAGAAACTGTGAAACTTAATTTTAATTAGAAACTGATAGTCACTTCAGTGATTAGAAAACTTCAAAGTACATTTGGAGCAACTTGGGTATGTGACTCTAGTTTTTCAGTTACGAATTTCAGGGACTCTCCACACAGATTAAGTATTTCTGAAGGAAAGTCAAGGTCCCCATTAAGGTGTGCTGTAAGTGCGAAATACACGCCAGATTACAAAGACTTATAATGAAAAGAAGATATGCTGAGAGTCAGAGGCAAGACAGGGAGAAGCCAAGAAATAGACAAGGAATATAATGTAGGGAGGGAGGCAAAGAAAGGGAAGGGACAAAATAAACTGCCAGAGAAGAGAGGAGCAAGAGAGAGGCAGAGATACAGAAATACGGGACAGGATCTGCAGGCGTGCAGGCAGAGCTGCAGCTGTGGAAGAGTTGGGGTTTTTGTTTGTTTGTTTAATGTTTATTTATGTATTTTGAGAGAGAAAGAACACGAGTGGGGGAGGGGAGGAGAGAGAGAGAGAGAGAGAGAGAGAGAGAGAATCCCAAGCAGGCTCCACGCTGTCAGCACAGAGCCCAATGCGGGGCTCGAACCCACTGTTGGGAAAATAAGCAAAGTTATGCACCCGAAGATGGCCCACGGGACTGACATAGGCTCTAGTGCCTAGCCTAGAGACTCCTCTTCCGGGTTCTTCTTCCTGCCCTGCTTGCCCTGATGCAGAATGTGGAAGTAACAGACAATACATTTCCCCCATGCTTGTGCTTGGGGCTTAGCTCTCTGGAGAAGGATCTCCTCTGAGCCCGCCGCCGGTATAAAATAAAACTCCAATCCACCAAGATCTCCAAGTGCCGCTTGGTTTTTCTGCCAGCGATCCAGCCTGGTTCTGTAACACCACAAACCGTGAGATTTGTGACCTGAGCCGAAATCAAGAGTCAGACAATCAACCGACTGAGCCCTCCAGGCGTCCCCAAAATTGTTTTTTACATATAAAGATGTGTTTATATTTTTTGACAGCTTTACTGAGGTATAAGTGACTCCAGTGAACTACACGTAAAGTACAATTTGATCAATTCTGAAATGTTGTACAGCTGTGAAATCATCCACACAAACAAGATGATGAACATAGCCCTCACCCCAAAAGTTTCCTCGTGATTTTCTATAATGCCTCCCTTCCCCATTTTAAAAAATTTTTATTGGGGCGCCTGGGTGGCTCAGTCGGTTAGGCGTCCGACTTCAGCTCAGGTTATGATCTCGAGGTTTGTGGGTTCGAGCCCCATATCGGGCTCTGTGCTGACAGCTCAGAGCCTGGAGCCTGCTTCAGATTCTGTGTCTCCCTCTCTCTCTGACCCTCCCTGCTCATGCTGTCTCTATCTCTCTCTCAATAATAAATAAAATATTTTAAAAAATTTTTATTAAAAATTTTTTAAGTTTATTTATTTTTGAGAGATAGAAAGCATGAGTGGGATGGGGGGGGGGAGAGAGAGAGAGAGAGAGAGAGAGAGAGAATCCCAAGCAGGCTCCATGCTGACACAGTGCAGAGCCCAATGTGGGGCTCAAACCCACCAACTATGAGATCATAATCTGAGTCAAGTTCAAGAGTCTGGACGCTTACCTAACTGAGCCACCCAGGCGCCCCACCCTTCCCCATTTTTAATCTCCTTCCCAGGCAACCACTGATCTGCCATTTGCCTCTAGAGATTAGCTTGGACTTTCTAAATTATCTGTTAAGTGGACTCGTATGGTATATACTCTTTTTTGCCTACCTTCTTTCCACTCGGTATTCATTATTTTGAAGTCTGGGGTAAGCGGAATAGTGGCCTCTCAAATAGGTCCTCGTCTTAATCTCCATAACCTGTGTTTGTTACCTAATATGGTAGAAGAGATTTTGGAGATGGGATTAAATGAAGGGCTTTCAAATGGGGAGATTATCCTGGACTATATAAATAGGCCAACGATGTAATCACTTGACCAATGATAAGGAGACCAAGTACATGAAAATGCGTTCAACATCATTCACCGTCAGGAAATGCCAATCAAACCCACAATGAGACATCACCTCACACCTGTTAGAAGCTGTTTTTTTTTTTTAATGTTTTATTTATTTCTAGGAGAGAGAGAGAGAGAGAGACAGCGTGAGCAGGGGAGGGTCAGAGAGAGAGGGAGTCACAGACTGAAACAGGCTCCAGGCTCTGAGCTGGCAGTCAGCACAGAGCCCGACGCGGGGCCCGAACCCACGAACCGCGAGATCATGACCTAAGCGAAAGTCGGACGCCCAACCGACTAAGCCACCCAGGCGCCCCTAGAAGCTGTTATTAAAAAGACAAGAAACAACAAGTGTTGGCAAAGATGTGGAGAAAAGGGAACCCTCATGCACTATTGGCTGCAATGTAAGCTGGTGCAGCCACTGTGGAAAATAGTATGTGGGTCCCTCCAAATATTAGAAATGGAAATACCGGGGTGCCCAGTTGGCTAAGTTGGTTGAGCATCCAACTCTTGATTTCGTCTCAGGTCGTGACCCCAGGGTCATGGGATGGAGCCCGGTGTCGGGCTCTGATCTGGGCGTGGAGCTTGCTTGAGATTCTCTCTCTCCCTCTGCCCCTCGCCCCTGCTCTCTCTCTCTCTCTCTCAAATAAATAAATAGATAAACAAATAAACAAACCATAGGGTCCAGCAATTGCAATTCTGGGTATTTGGGTATTTATCTAAAGAAAACACTGACTCAAAAAGATATCTGCCCGCACCCACGTACGCACACACACATACACAAACACGTTATTGATTGCAGCATCATTTACAACAGCCACGACATGGAAGCAATGTGTATCTCCCCTTGCAGGGTTCCGTGTGCAATAAATGTCACTCAGGTCAAAGTGGTAGGTAGTGCTGTTCCCTGCCACTATATCCTTAGTGACTTTCCACCCCCTTTGTTCTATCAGTTATTAAAAGTGGGGTAATCCCATCCCTGAGTATGACTGGGATTTGCCTGCGTCCCCTTGCAGTTCTATTTGTTTTCGCCGAATGTATTTTGAAGCTCAGTTTTCAAACATACACCTTTGTGATGGTCATGTCTTCTTGACAAATTGACTTTTATCATCATGCAATACCTTTCTCTATCCCTGGTAAGAGTCTTTTCTCAGAAATTTTATTTTTCTGGGGGTGCCTGAGTGGCTCAGTTGGTTAGGGTTCTGACTTCAGCTCAGGTCATGATCTCACGGTTTGTGGGTTCGAGCCCTGTGTCAGGCTGTGTGCTGACAGCTCAGAGCCTGCTTCAGATTCTGTGTCTCCCTTTCTCTCTGCCCCTCCCTTGCTCATGCTCTGTCTCTCTCTGTCTCAAAAGTAAATAAACATTAAAAAAATTTTAAGAAATTTGAATTTTCCCGATATTAATATTAGCTCCTTTTGAGATCTCTTCTGATTAGCATTTAGTATGGTGCCTTCCCCCACCCCACCATCCTTTCCTTTTAATTTACTTGTGTCTTTGCATCTCAAGTATATTTCTTGTGGGCAGCATATTGATAGGTCTTGCTTTTGTTTGCCTCCACTCCTAGACCTTTTCATTTGGATATTTCAACAGTTGGCATTGAATATGATTAGACATGTTTCTCGGTGTTCAGTCTGGTATCTGTTTGTTCTTCATTCCCTTTTTCTTCTTTTTCAGCCTTCTTTGGGATCACATAGTTTTCATAATTCTGTACTGTCTCCTAGCTTATTTTTGTGATTGACAACATACATCTTAAAC